TGGCATTGAAGTCAAACAGCTCTCGAACTGGTTTACTAACGCCCGGAAGCGCCTCTGGCAGCCTGTGTTGCGTCAATCTGGAGTTGAAGTTAAGAAATTCCTGTCAACAGGACGTGGCGGCCCGCGTGGCAACAAACTGGACGTGCCAGCCAACCTCCACCAGCTGGTATTGCCTTCTCCTGCGCCGAGCCCATCGAGTTCGCCTCGTAAGCGCTCGTGGTCGGCCATGCGGGATAATTCCTCGCCTTCTACAGCTTCTATAACCTCCCATGATGATTGCAAGCGTACGAAGAACAAGCGCTTAAAGAGCAACAGCTCACGCGACGAGAACACGGCGCCGCAGCTAAAAGATCTTGAGCTGCTGGCGGCTACATCACTGCTGGGCCTACAACACTTGACACAGTCGGTGCATTAATTTCGACTTGCATCGGCAAAACGTTTGATATTTATTTACTCATATGTAGGCATTTTAAAATGAAAATACAGTTAGATAAATATTGTCGTTTCCGCTATAATTTGTAGAACCAGGAGGAAAAAATGGCGTTTTTCGAATCGATTTGCTGTCATTATTAATCAATCAGAGTTTACCTGCATCACTTTGTATTTCTTCGGCAATGAGCCTGACAACCCCGGTCCGGCGCAGCTCTCCTCGACGGGTATTGCTCGACGACAGCAATCCCAGTCATGAGCGAGTAGCTCTAGGTCCGAGTCCACGCCCCTCACCGTACCAGAGGCGTAGTCCGTGTCTTCAACAACAGCAAGAGGTGGCGTCCTCGTCGTACCAGAGGCGAAGCCCCCATCTTCAACATCAGCGTGAGATGGGTTCCTCACCCTACCAGAGGCGAAGCCCGCGTCTTGAGCAGCAGCGTGAGACGCTTTCTTCGCACGATCCGTTGATCAAGCTCTCAGTCGATGTACGGTTGAAGAACACTGTCAACCAGCGTCTGACATCGGGATTGCGGATGGGCACACACGCGGTTCAAAGTGACACATGGGATGAGGTGAAAAACATGCTTTGGGGCATCATCCAGCGCGAGTTAAAGCCACTAGCTATTCCGACTGGGACACTCCAGTCTGGACGGTTGATGAGCATGAACCAGCAATTGTGATGTTTGAGAAGTACACTTCTTTGAAGATGAACGGCAAGGTGCTGAACCCGTGGACAAGTGCTAAAGATCGTAAATATTTGTGGAAACACAAGGAGGATCCCGCCATTCTCTCTGTTTACAGGTAGGGTAATGAGATATCCACCGTTGGCCAGTTTGCAGACTTTGAAGATCAGTGCATCGGTCCGGCTGCTACCGATCGTGGGGGTGCTGCAATAGAAGAGCTCCATCAACGCATGATCACTACTCTGAAGGATAATGGGGTGCTACGTTTAGTGCACAAGATATGCCGTGGCGCCTGTGGGCCGCACTCGTTCTCAAGAAACCCAGGCCTCAGCACGAGCGAGAAATTGCCAAGGGCCCGCCACCAAATCTAGTGACGCAGTTCAGGCCTGCGTCAAATTCAAGCGAACAGAACTTACAGCGTGTGCAGCGCAGCGTAAAGATGGCAAAGAAAGTCGTACAGGGCATGCAGACAAAGATTCAGCACTTCGAGCAAACAGTTCAAGTGCTGCAGACTGCCATCGTTTCCATGAACCAAATGCTGGAGAACCATTTGGATGTTATCGAGGCCATGGGTGAGGACGTGGTTATACAACCAGATAGTACGGAGGTCTCGTCCGTGTTAGCCGCCATTCCAAATCAGGAGGACATCGACCATGAGTGACTCTTGCTTTCAAGCATGTGCACGGCAGCACTCAATAAACTTAGATCGGTCAAACGTCCCATCCGTGTGAAATGTTTCCACGAGCCCATCCACAGATATGAAACACAGCAAGGAAACCCGAGCTTTCCTATTAAACTCTCCACGAAACGCGAGCTTCTTTCCTTTCAAACAGTAGCCTCGCGAACGCAGCATGCCCCTATTGTCAAAGCTGACTTCGTCGAGGAACTGAATGTTCATTTGACACCACTTAATCGTGCTCAGCTCCAGCGTGAAGCGCACAATATCGTTGATCTTGATGTTCATCGCACGTCGTTCGAGAACCTTCCATGTGAGTCCATGCTGATGTAAGGCCCTCCACACCGTTGAGATCGAAATGAAGCGTGCGAGCTGTTGCTCAAACGCAGCCTTCGCTTCATCGAGAAATGCAACCGGGTGCATCGTGTAGAAGTCTAGCAACCACTCCCGCTGTTCTGCTGTGAGCCGACCGGTCTGCTTTGTAGCGCGGCGCTCGTAGTCGTTGTCAGCCTCGAAGCGTTGAATCCAGTTCGAGATGGTGTTAATGTGCTTGTGGTAGATCGTTGCCAGCCGGTGTTTCGACAAGCCCAGGTAGAAGTAGCCGTACAGGGCGTGCATGATGGTGTTTCTGGACGCGTGACGCCCATTGACTGCCTGCTGTATGCTTGCCATTGCCGGTATGAGTGGCGGGCGTTTGGAGCCTTCTGACTGGCTAAAAATAGCACGAATCGATTCGAAATCGATTCGCCTAAACGATTCGATTCAGGCTATTCTCACAAATTCGAATGAAACTGACAATAGTATCTTCAACCTTCAACACAAAATGTTTTCAGTGTCATCCCATGTTTCGCAAATTTGTTGCATGCAACTCTTTAGCTTTTGCGTTGCGCCTTTCGAGCCAAGAAACGTGCTCTAGCAGCGGCAATAGCGTCCTCCGTGCTCGCTTTTGCCTCCTTTTTCCGTGGTGATGAAGCCTCGGCAACTTCCTTGCGTTTAGGCGAAGTGTCACGAGCTGGCGAAGACTGTCTACCCTCGTCTGGTTGCTCACTACTTCTCGCCTTCTTGGTTGCAGGTTCGTCAAGAGATATGGAGGCTGTCTCGCCGTCATGTTCACGCTCAGCGCTAGCCGGTTTCTCACTAGTTGTCGCGTCATGTCGTGCCTCCTTGGCCGTGTACGCACTCCGCGCATTGCTCGTCGAGCCGCCCATCGCGATGTTCTTGTTGAGATTCGCGTAAAAGCCTGCCATTGCATGCTCGCCCTGCTTAGTGACGTCTTCCTGCTCTTCCATGGCAGCAAGTCGTGCGTCCTCTGCATCCCAGCGCTGCATTTCCTGTAGCTTTCTTTTATAAGACGCGATACAAGCTTCTCTTTGTCTCCATACATGGCCATCGTCCGCCTTGCGTTCGTTTAAGAGACGTCGCT